ATTTGAATGCGAAATTCATTTATATTATATATAAATCTCTTTTTTTTTCTCTTTCTTTTTTTTGCATAGAATTCTGAGGAATATTCCCAGCATTAACGGGTGGTGGCTGTGCAATGGCTAAAGAATTGAATATAGAATTTTTAGGTTCTCTACCATTAGATCCGCTTTTAACTAGATGTTGTGATGAGGGTAAAAATTTTCTAACAGAATTTCCACAATCGCCAACTATTTTTACATTACAGACAATTGTTCAAAGTAAGTTTTTTTTATATTTAAAAATTTTGTTTTTATCGTTTTAAATTATACAATATTTATTTTTCATTTCAGAAATAATCAAACAATGTGAGAAAATGAAAAGTGATTGTGAAATTGATATTACTTGAAGAATAATAATAAAGAATAATAAAAATCTTTATATTAGAAAAAAATGTATATCAAAATGTTTTGTAAATTGGACAAAACTTAATCTAATTAATTAATGCCTGGAATTGTATATAGTTTTCTTTTCATATAATTCAGATTTCTTTTTCGGAAACATGTTTATATTAATATTTGTGCAAATATACTATTTTTTTAAATCATTTCATTTCTTCTAACGATTTAAAAGATTTAACTTAATATTTAATTTTTTTATGATTTTTTTGCATAATATCCGAATTGTTTTATGAAGATATTCTTCATAAATTTCAACCGACGATGATCGGTTAAGTCAGTTAGTAAAACAAAATTCTAGATAATTGAAATATATAAAAAATTTTAAACATTTTCTTTTCCTTTTTTTTTTTGAAAACGGAAATTTTGTGTATTTTATAAATTTAATAAATATATTTGATTCTTTCATCTTTCATTATTGCATATTTTATGTAAATAAATAACAATATCACATACACACAACATTATGTGATAAGATACGTATCCATTTGAGAATTTCTTTCTGCAATTACTGTCGAAAGTATTAAATCAAATTATGTTTATTTAAAGATTTTCGAAATTTTTAATCTTTAGGAGATAGAAAATTCACCGAAATTACTATTTTAAATTTATTATCCTAGAATTTTCGAAACTATGTTTAGTGAAAATTTATGCATATTCTTTTTTTTATTTTTCTCATCCTCGATTTCATTCAAATTTATCTCTTTATCGTTTGTCAATCGATTGTTGCGATAACTGTGAAATTATTTTGAATTATAAAACTAGCTATAATTAACCGATAATCATTGTTATGTATTCATTTGAGAATAATTTAAAAAATTCTTGCTCTTAGACGGTAGAAATAATTTCACAGAATAATTATTTGCGAAAAATTCTCGCAATAGTTTTGCTTTCAAATAGATAGATGCGTAATATTTATATATTATCTATTTAATTGTATGTTTAAAATTTTATAATGATAAATTTGTATAAAAATTATATAAATAGAATATAATACACTTAATAACATGTAATACTGTATATATTGTACATAATATAAATTTATAAATCACATAATGTTGTGTATAAATTTAATTATATATAACTAGCAGAAATAGAAATATTGAAAGCAAAAATTATACAAATTAAAATTTGCATCAATTATATCGTCGATTAATATAATAATTTACAATTAATGTATTTCTATATAAATAAAAGATATGTTAACAATGAGAAATATATGTATATTAATTGATTGTTGTTGAGTTAAAGGGAAAATATGAAAATTTATAAGATATATTTTTTATCATTAATTAATTACCTATATAATGTTAAAAATTCATCCTCTTTTTCAACTATAGAATCCAATGTATTATTTAAGTATTCAGTATTTTAATTATTAAATATTATTATTAAATAATAACTATATACATAATGTATATATAAAAAAATTCGAAGAAATTATTCACAATATTATTCGTAAGAATTATTCACGATTATATAAAGTATAAAAGAAATATATACATGTACATGTATATTATTATCTATATTAATTTATAGTTTATATATTTCTGGTTGTTAAACTTAGTGTAGAAAATTTTTCGATATTGAATTTCGGCTCGTTTGAGTACATGATCAAAACGTATATGCCATTGATCATGATAATAATGAAATTATTCAGATTTTAAAATTTATTGTTTAATGTTAAAATATCTGCTCAAAAATGAATAAAAAAATACAATAACAAGTAGATAGATAGAAAGATTTTTAATTTCTATTTTAAAAAGACTAATCTTGTTAAAAATAAAACAAAGTGATAATTGGAATTTTCTTGATGGTTGGTAAAGTTTAAATATTATTAATAATACAATGATAAATTTAATTAATTAAAACTACTATTTTTAATTATTATTATAATATGTATTGTATTAATAATAATAAATAATAAATATATGTATGAGTGACATAAGATACAAATTTTACATTTTGGTTATATTTATGTTCGAGGTTATATTACTTTATAATAGATTTTATTTTTATTTATTATTTTATAATCTTTTTATTCATGTATATTTAATTAACTATCAAGAAAATTTTTCTTATCTTTCTTATTATATATTTGTTAATATATATTTACTTTATTAATAATTATTTTATAATATAGATTTAAGTTTACTAAATATAAGTTATTTAATTAAAAAGAAAATCAAGACATTCGAGTTGTTTAGTGAATATTATATTATAATATTTTTTTACAGAATCTGCAAATTTATTAAATTAACGGATAAATGAATGTAAAAAATACACAACAATTTCTAAGAAGAAATATGATTTTAAATAGATATCATAGATATATATCAACATATTATTTTTTGAAATTGATCATATTTCTTATTCTATTTGGTTTTATAATAGTTTCTATAAAACAAAGTGGATGCATTACTATAAAGAAATATGAAATAAATATATTTTTTAATGAAACTTTACAAAAATTGAATATGAATTATAAATCGATCAATGTTTCTACAATATTATCTGAAAATAAAAATTTCAAACATGATATAATATTTGATAACAAAATATCTCGGTTTTCTAAAATTGTACAAGTAAGTTAATCATAATGATTGTATATCTATAATATTTTTACATTGATCTTCATTTATTAAAAAAAACTTTCATTTATTAGGAACAATGCGACAATATTCCAGTTACATTACGTTTTGATTGTCATCCCGAAGATGGAGCATCAGAATTATCTTGTGCGAATAGAGGTTGTTGTTGGAATTCTTATGAAAAACAAATACCAACCATAAAACAAATCTCTCTAAATGTCCCATATTGTTATTATCCGAGCAATTGGAGCATATATAGATATGAAAATTTTAGTTTAGATGGAAATAATTTTTCTGGATTTCTCAAACAAATAAAAAGATCGTTCTATGAAAATGATATATCATTTGTTAAAGTAGAAACGAGCACTGTAGATAATTCTATTTTACGTATAAAAATATATGATGCTTTCAAGAAACGTTATGAACCACCATGGCCTCTCAGATCGGATCCTAAACCATTTATTCAAAAAAATGCAAAATACAAATTAAATGTTGATAATATTAAACCTGGTTTTAAAGTATACAGAACTTTAGATGATACAGTAATGTGAGTAACATTAGATATTTCAGCGATATTTAAATTTTGAAATTTTTAGAAATTTTAATGTTATAGTAATTATGCTAAAACATACTATATACAGAGTACTTAATATATTTATAGATGATTTTTACAGGGTCGATTCGAAATTAAATATTAAAAACAAACAAACAAGAATTAATATATTGGTTAAGTTTTATTATATATTAAGTTATAAACAATTTAATTTTGTGTTAGAAACGTCTATTGATCAAATCATCCAACATTAACAATCTCGTTTGATCGGATAATATTAATCAGATTAAAAATGAAATTTTAAATATGATATGGCATATCATTAATTATCAAGAAATTTTAATAACTTAATGTAAAGCAATGATACGTATAAAGAATAATATATATATATAATCTATATATATATTATAATATATATATAAATATATAATATATATATATATATATCGTTATAAAAAAAAAAACTTCTAGTATTTTTTTAACATTATTGAATATGAAATTCATTTAATTTGTTATTTAGAAAAATTGAATTTTAAATATAGGTAATAAATACAGGTAATAATTTTATATTTATATAATAAAAAAATATTTAAAAAATTTTCTTTTTTAACAATATATATATTCTTAAATATTACATTATATAAAAGTTCTGAATAATCAATTGTAAATTTAAAATAAGTGAATTTAAATATCTCGCCTTAAAATTTTCGTTAAATGATATTTATAAATAAGGAACATTGAATTCAATCCTTTTAGATCATTTCTCTATATCGCTTTGTTTATTATAAAATTTAATAAAATTTAATAACAGGTAAATTTCAATAATCAAAAATTTCAATTAATATTTTTGCATATCAATTTTTATTATATAAAAATTTGTTTGTATTGTATGTTTTAATGTTTAGAATCAGTTAAAAGAAAATGTGAATGCGAAAATTTTTTACAAATATATTATTATTGTACTACCTATATTACAAGTTTTTCTTCATATTTGTTTCAGATTTGATTCTATTAATATCGGAGGTTTTATATTTGCTGACCAATTTTTACAAATAAGCGCTCTTTTGCCAAGTCATAATATTTATGGTATTGGAGAACACGAAACAAAATTGAAATTAAATACTAATTGGCAATCTTTTACATTATTTAACAAAGATCAACCACCGATCGAAAATGTAAGTTGATTTAATTGAAAATATTGTTTCAAATTATATATTATTTTTATTTTTCTTTTTTTTAAAAATGTATATATATGTACATATAAAATTATAAAGATAAACTGTTTAAATTTAGGCAAATTTATATGGATCGCATCCCTTTTATTTAATAATTGAAAATTCGGGAAATTCTCATGGAGTTTTATTTCTCAACAGTAATGCTATGGGTAATGATGTTCAAAATTGAAATTTTTTTTTTCAACATGTATCAAATCCATTATATTATAGTGTTTGATATTTTTAGATGTGATATTACAACCATCACCTGCTATTACCTTTCGAGCTATTGGCGGTATTTTTGATATATATTTTTTTTTGGGTCCAACTCCAGCAGATGTCATAAAGCAATATTCTGAGATAGTAGGTAAACCATTTCTGCCCCCGTATTGGTCTCTTGGTTTTCATTTATGCAGGTACAAACCTTATCTTATTGCAAAAGATATGAATTTATATTTTTTATTATGTTCGTATATATGTGATAAAATATGTATACATAATATTTGTATAATTGTATGATAGATATGGATATGGAAGTTTAGAAAAGACAAAAGAAGTATGGAATAGAACTATAGCAGCAGGAATTCCATTTGTAATGTTTTTTTATATATTTATCAATTTAGATTTAATAATAATAATAAATAAATAAATAAGGCAAATAAGATAAGTTTAATCATTTTGATCAATTTTTATCATTTTTAGGATACTCAATGGAACGATTTAGATTACATGGATAAGAATAACGATTTTACATATAATTCAGACAGGTTTAAGGATTTACCACAATTTGTCAATGAAATACATTCGGTATGATTTAATTATAGATTGCTAATATATATATATATATATATATACATTTATATATACATATATATATTTACATTTTCTAGAGAGGAATGCATTATATTCCGTTGATCGATGCAGGAGTATCTGGTTCTGAAAAGAAAGGAACTTATTTGCCCTACGATGAAGGTTTGAAAGAAGATATATTTGTAAAAGATGAAAAAACTGATCAACCATTCGTTGGCAAAGTTTGGAATTTAGTCTCTACTGTGTGGCCTGATTTTACAAATCCCAAAGCGCGAAATTATTATTTTCACATGATGAACGATATGCACAATAATTTTGCATATGATGGTGCTTGGATAGTATGTTTTTATCTTTTGATAAAAAAATAATGTTTTTTTAATATATTAATGTATTATTTTCTATTATTGCTAGGACATGAACGAGCCTTCCAACTTTTATAATGGACATAAATATGGATGTTCGCAAAATAAATTAGATTATCCTAAATATATACCGCGTGTTATTGGTAATATTCTATCGACGAAAACATTGTGTATGAATGCTAAACATTATTTGGGCTTTCATTACGATCTTCACAATATTTATGGCACAAGTCAAGCGATAGCGACTAATTAGTAAGTAATAATTGGTAAGCATAAAGAAAATTTGAAAATTAAAAGAAAAATATAATTACAAAAATATAATTACATACATAGTGCATTAACCAATATTAGACGAAAAAGACCATTTATAATATCACGTTCAACCTGGGTGGGACATGGTTACTATGCTGGTCATTGGACAGGAGATGTTTATTCCTCGTGGTAAATTATATATGAAACATTTTATTTATAAATACATATTTGATAAATATTATTCGTATTTCACATAAGAAATTAATCATTAGGCACGATTTAAAAATGAGCATTCCAGCAATTTTGTTGATGAATTTTTATCAAATACCAATGGTTGGTGCTGACATTTGTGGATTCAATGGAAATACTACAATAGGTTTATGCAATCGTTGGATGCAACTTGGTGCATTTTATCCTTTTTCTCGTAATCATAATTCAGATGATACGATTGTTCGTATTTATGAATATTCATTATATAATGAATAAAAGCAATTGAATCGTGTTTTCGTTACAATATTTCTAGCATATAATATATTTTGTTCATATCAGGAACAAGATCCAGTTGCTATGGGTGATTTAGTAATAAAATCATCCAAACGTGCTCTTACGATACGTTATTGGTTGTTACCGTATTTGTATACGTTATTTTTTCGGGCACATAAATTTGGAGAAACTGTAGCGAGGCCATTATTTTTCGAGTAAGTATAAATCATATGCGATACTAAATGATTATTAAATGAAAATTTTTGTAAGATTAACATTTTTTGTTGAGATTTCCTAACGATTCGATCACATATGATATCGATGCTCAATATTTGTGGGGCAATTCTTTGATGATAATCCCAGTTTTAGAAGAAGTAAGCTAATATTTAAAATTTTGTTAAATGATTTAATATTTGATTTATTCATATATTATGACAAAAAAAAAAAAAAGTGATTTGATTGTTACATCATTGATGATCATTATAGAACAAAACAGAAGTAATTGCTTATTTACCACGTGGATTATGGTATAATTTTTATACAAAAGATTCTCTTTTTGCGTTGGGCAAATATTATACATTGAATGCGCCACTCGATACCATACCATTGATGATTCGCGGAGGATCTATTTTGCCAGCACAAAAACCAGCCGATACTACAACAGCTAGCAGAAAAAATAATTTTGAGTTATTGATTACGTTGGATAATGTAAAAAAGGCAAAAGGAGAATTATATTGGGATGATGGTGATAGTTTAGGTATGTATTAGAACAATATAACAATTAATTGTTTTATAACAAATAATTGTAATAATTTTTTTTTAACGTATACAAAAATTCATTCAACAAATTCAAATTCAATTCAGATTCGTTCGAGAAGAGACAGTTTGTATGGACATTTTTCAATATTGAGAATAACACTTTATCCAATTCCAAAGCAACGAAGAGTTATTTCAATGAGAAGATTATTTTAGATAAAATACAGATATGGGGAATAACATCTAATATTTCAAAAGTTTTTTTAAACGATCGCGAAATACGATTCGAATATATTAAGAAGGAAAATGTGAGTTTCAATGCTTAAAATGATAAAAAGAAAAGGGAGGGGAAAGTTCGTATTCAAATTAAATAAGAGTATTGATTAATAGTTATTTTTTTATTTTTAATTTCTTTTTTTTTTTCTTATCTAAACCTAAAAATATTAATTTTTCAGTGCTTAAATATAAATAATTTACAAGTGGATTTGAGAGAAAATTTTTCGCTTTCTTGGAAATATGATGATTTCGAATTAGATGGTAAGAACGATAAATAATAATAATAATATTGTGTAAAATATATATTCGTTTGTATCATATGTATAAGATTGTTGTTTTTATAGATATACATATATACGTTTCGATATTACTTTTTATGGTATTAATCTAATATGTAAATATATTTTTTACTCTTGTTAAAATAAATATTTTCTTGAGTAAAGGCAAAAGAAAATTTTTTTAATTTTATTCGAATAATTGTATTACTATACAATAAAGTAGGATATACTTTACAAACGATGCATAGTTTATGGCACTATAACGAAAAAAGAATAATTATAAAATGAAATCTTTTGAAATAATCTATATCTGAACACATTAACTTAAAAAAAATATTTATAATGAAAATTTTAGTTTCAATTTGTTCGTAATCGTAAACTAATAACAGTAAAAATAATAACAACACGGATAATCGGTTATCACGTAACATTGGCAAATCAAAATAATCATTTTGGCATCTCGTGGAACATATTGAATAAAGAAATTCAAGCATTTAACAAAACAGCACCATTGTTGAAACACAGAAATCTTTACTTAAATTCTACATACGTATCTATAAACATGCGGGCATTCCTTTGACCTCGATCTATATTCAGAGGTCTCTACGACCTTTATTTGCATTTCTACAGCAGACAAAAAAGTAGATTTTGATCTTTGAATAAATTTCAAAGAGAGACACTGACATAATCGTCCCTGTCATTATATCTCACACCAACCATACTTAACATATAGTCGCTTGAATTCTTATAAAAGGTATAACGAATAATTTCTTGAAATTTTTTTTTTTCTCCCCAAGGAATATCTCGATCATCAGAGAATTATTACATTTTTTTACTTTTTTTTTTATCAGCTCATTTCATCGTTCAAAATAAGCTGTATAAAAATTTGACTTTAACGAAAACAACTTTTTCTCATGAAACAAGTAATTGTGACATTAGAATAATACGTGTGTGTATGTGTATGTGTGTATCTGTGTGTACATTTGTATTGTTCCGAAAGAAGCATATTGCTCCATTTCTTTGTTTATAATATAAAATCCGAAAATGAATGAGAAATCTGAATATAAATATGAGAAATATAAATTTTTATATCTGTTCGGAATCGTTATAACATTGTTGTTCGATCGGTCTTTATGATTTGTCCATTGTCTTAAGCTTTTCTTCGCTCTTTTGTTCGAGATAAAGACAAATCGAATAATATCTGATTTATAAGCAACAAGTCGATTTTGAGCGATGTATCTATTTCGGAACAATACCATAACATTACAAAATATTTGAAATATTTGTATTATATTATATACGAAATAAGATTTTATCGGAATTACTAAATATTCTATTATAATTAAAAACATATTTTAACGAATTGAAAATTACACAACACATTATTAAATATATATTAATGTATTACACAATATACGGAATATAATATATCTTATAATTGTTTATATATATATATATATGTTTTTTTTTATTTTTTTAAATTATTAACTTGAAACTTTGATCATTATTGTCTGTTCACATTTATTTATGTCTACCTAAAAAATGTCGTACTTGCTAAGCGTACAGGCATATTTATTAAACATTTTCGTCGTGTTAATTTGCACAATCTATGCATTAAAACGAAGAAATATATGCTAACGAGAATCATACAATGTGAAAGAAAATGACGATAATAAAATTTTTAGGTATTAAAGATCCTGTTTATTAACAGAACTTTTTACGAACACAACAGAATTTCATGTAGCACCGCGCGTATTTTTCATGTATAGATGAAAATTTTTATTTTTTTTACATGATTTTTATAGGAAAAATTTTACGAGAGTCTCCGAAATTTTTAGAACTTTTCCGAACTTTTTTCATTCAAAGAGATCAATTTATTTAACGTATAATTTAAGTTTATAAATATTGATATTTCGAAAGCAAATAAATAAATGAGAACGAAAATGAAAAAAATGGCAAGAAAAAAAATATCACAAAAATCAATAAAATTATGCATTCAACTTGTGTGTTATACTTGTCCAACAATTTACACACAACAATGTACGTATAAATATAGAATGCTTATATCTAATTAAAAGAATATATTGCAACAAACAACGTGTACAATAACCTAGTTGATATTTAGCCTCTTTAAATTAGTAATAAAGTAAGAAATCATCTAAAAAACTCGTATTGAAATACTCGTATATATTCAAACATATTTCTTATTTATTTCTTTTCTCTTTCACCTTTTCTCTCTCTCTTTTTTCCCTTCCCTTTTTTCTTTCTTTTTTTTTTTTTTCGTTCAATTTTCTTTTAAAAAAATATGTTTTTCGTTATAACGAATACAAATGCAAAAACTGCATTTTCAATCTATTGCCACACGAATCTAATTTTGATTAGTTGTTTATCGTAGATAATATTTAACTCTATCATCGTAACATTCATTACATTATCATACATTTGTTTAGAAATTACGAAAAGCGAGCAACAAATTCGTTTAAATAACAACAAGTAAGAGAATTATTAATAAAATAACAGGGCAAGAAATAAATGACGCATGGCACCCTGAATGTAGCCAGTTGGTTATTAAAAATATCTATAAAAGATATACTTAAATATTTATATAATGAAGCGAATTAACTCGTAAAATATTATATACATATGTATACTTAAAAAATTATAATATAAAAATCACGTGAATATCTCTCTTTCTTTCTCGCTCGCTCATTCATTCCTTCTCTCTTGCTCTCTCGCTTTCTCTCATAATGAAAATTTCGCAGTGTATATTGTCGCTTTATACTTTGCGTAGAAGTTTAAAACTCTAAATGTGTTTTTAAATTGTTTGTACGAACTTTTTATACAAACAATATGGCACTCGATGCATAATTAACTTATCACATAGAAATGATGGGAACAAATTTATTCGTTCAATCTATCTATCGTTTTACGTGTAACTCGTTATTACTTTTACAACATATATGTAACGTAATAACTAATAATAAGCTTTAATATCGTTAAAATATATATCAGTCAATCGTATATTTTATTTTTTCCAGTACGAAATGAATAACTTAAAACGGTGCACGCACAAAATGATCAATGAGTTATTCGATTGTTATTACGAATGTTGCGTTTGCACTTTGGACTAGCAAATACTTATTTTTATATTAAATGAAATTATTTATATGTAATCGAAATAATTTTAATAAATAATCATTAACACTTTTGGTATTTAGATAATGTATAATACGAACGAATATTATTACTAAATAATATATTGATTGACGATGAACACGTGCTACGAATATTCTTATTCTGCACGTGTTCAAATCTTTCTTTTCTTTTTTTTTTTTTCGTTCATCTCTAACTTGTTTTTATTCACATAGTCGCGAACGGTGCGTTATACGTATAAAGTTATAGAAAAATTATATAGTGTAAAAAGAGGGAACAGTCTTTGATTTAAAAAGCCTCGATTTAGGATGAAATAATTTCCAAGAAGTTTAAAGTATATTTGTATCTTCTAATCTTTGGTAAATATTTAGTAGCGTTAACCATATATGATTAAAATATTATTGAAATAACTAGGAATTTTATTTAAGTAGCGGTAAGTGTTTCCAGGATATCTTCGGGTGTTTTATTCAATTTGCGAAAATGTTCCCAATGTTCTTTGGGTACGGTCCACTTGAGAAATATCTCGAGATTCTTGGTGAGAGTTTCGAGTTCCGAAAGACCGTTACTCACGACCGGATCTTTGCCAGCGGATAACAAAGAGTCATAAAGAACCTCGTCGATTAATCGTTTGCCAAATCCTAATTCGTCCAATCTTTCTTGTTTGCTAATCCTCTTAAGAAGTACAGCGAGCAACAATCTCATCCTCTCGACAGACATTATTTTATATTTGGAGGGAGGGGAGGAGGATTTGTCGGTGATTATTTCATTGGAGAGCAGGGACGACGTTGTCGATTGTAAGGTCATCGAAACTGATGTTGTCGGTATTATCGTTGCCGTTATCGAGTCCATTCGATTATTCGAAACGTCGTGTTCACTTTTAGATTCAGGATGACAGGTTTTCTCGTGACATTCCAAATCATTTTTGATTCTAAAGAAACTCTTACACTTTTTACAAGCGTATGGCTCATTTCGACCGTGGATGCATTTCATATGCTTCTTCCAGTGGGGTAGTTGTGTGAAACCGGCGTTACATTCGGCACATTTAAACGGCCTTTCACCGGTATGTCTTCTTGTATGAAGTTTAAGAGCTGTTGAATGTGCAAATGCCTGCCAACAAACCAAACATCTGAATGGTCTTTGTCCTGAGTGTGTTCTTTGATGGACGGTCAATTGAGATTTTTGAGCGAATCTTTGACCACACGTAGCGCAACCGTGTGGCCGATCGCGCGCATGCGTTCTCATGTGTTGAGGTAGATGGCCCTTGAAAGTTTTGTTACATATCACGCAGAGAAAAGATTTTACATCTCTATGAAGGCATTCGAGATGTTTTTTGAGCGCGTCTCGGCGAACGAACGCGCGACCACAAATCTCACATTTATGATCTTTTTGACCATTGTGTCGCTTTACGTGCAATGCCAAATTCGCGGCACAGGTAAACGTGCCAGAACATAAACCGCAACGGTACGGTTTCACCTGACTGTGAGTACGCCGATGCTGCACCAATTGTCCTCCTCTGGCAAAACTTTTGTCGCATTCTGGACATTTATACGGCTTGAATCCGGTATGTGTTCTAACGTGTAGTTTCAATCTTTCTTTCAAAGGGAATTCTTTGCCACACTCGTCACATTTAAAGATAGGTCCCGCTCCATGTACGATCTTATAATGATTACGAAGACCTCCACTACCTTTGAATCGCGCCTCGCAAACTACACAACAATATTTTTTTTGCTGATTATCTTCTTTAGCTTTGATATCGATCTTTTCGTCTTCATCTCGCCTATCCTCGTTATCATTCAAATTCTTTTTTTTTGAATATGAGAGCGACGATGACAACAATGACGATGATAATGACGATGAGGATGACAATGACGATGACGACGACGACGACGACGACGACGACGACGATGACGATTCGATAACGACTACGTTCTTAGAGATATCTGATCCATACGATGGATTCGTATGAGCTTCTCCGACTTTGAATCGACTTGATTCCATCGTATTATTGTTTTCACTGTCTACAAGATAATTCATCGTCGTTGTATATAAATTTAACTTTGTTTCTTTCGATGAATTCTCGAGCAATATTTTCGAATTCGCTACTTTTGCATTAAATATGCCATTTTCTTCAATAGTAACGGCGATAAGTTGTTTAGCGGCTTCATCGATATTATTTTTATCCGTTATTTCGCTAGAAATTGCTATTCGATCGAATAATATTCCATCGGTAGTATTTGTATAATTCACATTTTTGTACATTCCTTCTATGTTTTTCAAGTTTGTATTGGGTTCCTGTTCTTCGTCTATCAACTCACGACGAAACACATAAATCTCATCATTTAAATGATGATTATTCTTGTCAAGATCTAAATAAGTCGTTGATTCTATTTGTTCGTCAATCCCTTTTTTATTTTCGAGATATGAATTTTCTCGTAATTTTAACCGATTCCTTGACCTTGCGTTGCCATTTTCTTCACTTTTTTGTTTTTTATTATTTTTTATTGCATCGATAATTACTCTTTTCTTTGGGAATTTTATTACATCTTTAATCATCGATTTTTTATCGATTTGCTTGCGTTTTCTTTTTCCTATATTTGATTCGTTCTCAAATCTTTGAACGTTGCGTTTCTCTTTTTCTTTTCCAATCTCGGTTTTATTAATTATATTTTTTTTATCATATTCGCAAGTCTTCTTTTGTATATTGTTTGCTTCTTCAAGCAATTGTTTGCAATTGTCTTGTAATTTTTCTCGCTCATATTGATCGATTTTTCTACAAAAAGATAAATTGGCCGAACAAAGCTTATGTTCATCGTCGTTGCAACAATTGTTGGCGATGGTGAAACTTCGAAGTATCTTTAAAGCATCGGTCGTATCAACATTCTCATCTATATCTTTAAAAATTTCATTCTCCCTGATTCGTGATTGTTTCACCGGTAATAATTCTGTCAGTTGAATTTCCTCTTGTTGTTGTTGTTGTTCGTTTTCAACTACTTGATTTAAAATATCTTGTTGCATATCAAGCGTAGCCATTTAACTTATATTTCTTTTCTATCTTATTACTCAAATATTCGTTTCTTACTCACTATTCCTTTTTTTCCTTCCCTTCCTCTCTCTTTCTCTCTCTCTCTC